CCATGTCATCATCTCAATAGCTGCAAAAAAAGCATTTGGCAAAGTCCAACACCCTTCATGATAAAAAAAAAAAAAAAGACTCAACAAAGTAAGAAGAGAAAAGAACTTCAATCTGGTAAAGGGCAACTACAGAAATTCCACAGCTCATGTCATACTCAATGGTGAAGGACTGGATGCTTTTCCCTTAAGGTTTTCTCTTCTATCCAACATTATATTGGAGGTTCTCGTCAGGGCAAGTAGGGAAGAAAATGAAATAAAGGCATCCGTATTGGAAAGGAAGAAGTAAAACGATCTCTATTTGCAGATGACATAATCTCATATGGAGAAAATCCTAAGGAAGCCACTAAAAAAATATTAGAACTAAAAGACAGGTTCAGCAAGGTTGCCAGATATAAGATCAATATACAAAAAGCAACTTATTTCTATACACTTGCAATGAAATCAAAAGTTAGGAAAACAAGTCCATATATAATAACATCAAAAAGAGTAAGATATTTAGAAATAAGTTTAACAAAAGAAGTGCAAGACTTCTATTCTGAAAACTATGAAACATTCTTGAAAAAAGTCAAAGAAAGTCCAGATAAATGGAAAGATACATCACGTTCACGGATTGAAAAACTTAATATTGTGATGATGGCAAGAATCCCCAAATTCATCTACAGGTTCAACACAATCCCCATCAAAATTCCAGCTGGCTTATTTGCAGAAATTGACAAGCGGATCCTAAAATTCATACAGAAATTCAAAGGACCCAGAATAGCCCAAAAAATCTTGAAAAAGAAGAGCAGAGTTGGAGGACTCTCACTTTCCAGTGTCAAAACTTACTGAAAAGCAAAGCTACACCAATCAGGACAGTGTGGTCCTGGCATAAGGAGAGACGTATAGATCTATATAATAGAACTGAGAGTCCAGAAATAAACCCTTACATTGACAGTCAGCTGATTTTGTGACAAAGTGCCAAGACAATTCAATGGAGAAAGAACAGTCTTTTCAACAGATGGTACTGGGACAACTGGATAGCCACCTGCAAAAAGATGAAGTTGGACCCCTACCTCACACAGTATACAAAAATCAACCCATAATGCATCAAAGACCTAAAAGTAAGAGCTAAGATTGTAAAAACCCTTAGAAGAAAATAGAGGCACAAACCTTTGTGACCTTGGATAAAGCAGTGGGGTCTTAGATATGACACCAAAAGCACAAGCAACAAAAGAAAAATTAAATTGCATCGCATCAAAACTAAAAACACTTTTGCTATAAAGGCCATAATCAAGAAAGTGAAAAGACAACCCACAGAATGGGAGAAAATATTTGCAAATCATCTGATAAGGGACTTGTGTCTAGAAAGTCCAAAGACCTCTTACAACTCAATAATAAAGAGATAAGTAACCCAACTAAAAAGTGGGCAAAGGATCTGAATACACATTTTTCCAGAGAACATATACAAATGGTCAATAAGCACATGGAAAGATGCTGAACATCGTTAGCCATCAACAAAATACAAATCAAAACTACAATGAGATACCACTTCACACCCGCCAGAATGGCTAAATAAAACAAAAATAGACAAAAACAAGTGTTGACAAAGATATGGAGAAACTTGAACCTTCGTCCTCTGCTGCTAGGATTGTAAAATGGTGCGGCCACTTTGGGAGACTCTGACATTCCTGCAAATGGTTGAACACAGAGCAACCAAATTACCTAGCAATTCAATTCCTGTGTATGTACCCAAGAGAAATGAAAATACGTGTCCACACCAAAGCTTGTACACCGATGTTCCTAGTGGCATTATTCACAATAGCCAAAAAGCAGAAACAGCACAAACGTCCATCAACTCATAAATGGATAAATGAAATACGGCATATCCATACAATGGATATCATTCAGTGATTAAAATGAAGTACTAATATATGTCACGACATAAGTGAACCTCAAAAATATCATGCTAAATGAAAGAGGAAAGACACACACACATATACACACACACACAACGAATACTGTATGATTGTATTTATATGAAATATCCAGAATATACAGATCTAGAGAGACAGAAAGCAAATTAGTAGTTGCCTAGGTCTGGAGAAGGGGGTTGGAGGAAAATGAGCGGTGACGGCTAATGGGTATAGTTTTTTTGGAGGGGATGAAAATGTCCTAAAATTGATTGTAGTAATGGTTGCACAACTCTGTGAATATACTAACAACCACTGAATTATTTACTTTAAATAGGTGAATTGTATGGTATGTGAATTCTAGCTCAATAAAGCTGATATGTATACCATAATAATGATATAAGTAATCATCATGTAACATAATATAATAATAATATATCTTTAAGTCTCCTTTACAGCCCTCCATTGGGATAGGCCCTTACCCAGGAAAGGGGTCTGTGGGGGGACAAGCAAGCCCCCTGGCACATCCTCCCTGGAGGCAGGGGACCCCAGCGTGGAGGGAGGAGCAGGAGTCTGGAGTCACTGCCTCCGTGTTCACTTGGGGTCCTGTTCGTGAACTCTGGGACTTCAGGGCATCCCTCAGCCTCTCTGTGCCTCAAGTCTGCATCTCCCGAGTGCGAGTGAGGACAGTGTCCCCCTGCTAGGGGGGCCATGAGGACCAAGTGAAGAAGTCCTTGTCGAGCACTCAGAGAATTACCTGGAGCACAGTAAGCACTCAAGAGATGCTACTTACTAGTATTATTGAGCTTGCAGATTCACCACCAGCCTGGGTGTAAGAAGTGATAAGTGCAAGGCAGATGCTAGAGAGCCGGCCCTGGTGGTCCAGTGGTTAAGATGCGGCGTTCTCACCACTGTGTTCTGGGTTTGTGTCCCAGTCAGGGAACCACACCCCCCATCTGTCAGTTCTCATCCTTTGGTGTCTGCACGTTGCTGGGCTGCTGAAAGCGATGTCACTGGGATTTCAAATACCAGCAGGGTCGCCCATGGTGGACAGGCTTCAGTGGAGCTTCCAGACTAGGAAGAAGGACCTGGCCACCCACTTCCCAGAAAACTGGCCATGAAAACCCTGTGAATGGCAGCAGAGCATTGCCTGATACATCGCCAGAAGGGGAGAGGATGGAGCAAAAAGGCTGGGCCGGGTTCTTCTCTGCTGTCCACAGGGCCACTAAGAGTCAGTCAGCTCGACGGCGTTAACAACAACAAAGACGTTAGATCTAATTGCCTGTCCCCTCCTTGGAGATCAAGATAAGCCCCAGAGCCAAAGCTCCCCCAAGCTTCTGCAGCTTCCCACCAGGCTTTCCTCCCAACGCCCCCCCACCCCCGACCCCGGGGACATGGCTCTTCTTCATCTAGCGCCTATCTGCGCCTTGTCAATCCACACATGGAACTTGGCCTTTTCACTGGGCCAAAGGAAGAAGAGAGGAAGGATGCAAACCACCACGGCAGGCGCTGCATGGCCAACAGCCTCACAGCGCGGAGTGGACACCCTCACGCTTCAGAACCCGGTCCAGCCACTCATCCCCAGGGGCGTCCCCTCACCCTTCCTTGGAGGGACCCCTCTCTCACCGTCTCCCATCTCTGCAGGCACCCCAGCCCTCCAGGTGGTACTCTGACACCTGTCACTTCCCCTCCCCTGTGCAGAGCAGTTTGGCGGGTCCCAGCCCTGACTCCCACTTCTGCGGGGCCAGACTCCAAGACAGACTGGGCCAACCAAAGGGCCTCCCGTGGAACAGGGTTCCATAGCACGTGAGTGTCCCTGTCCCAAAGGCCCCATAGATCATGCACAGCTCTGTCACTCCTGCCTGCCCGCTGTGGCTCCAACACGCTGCTGTTCACTTTTATTCCCGAGGGTGGAATTTATCAAGCACCCACTCCCTGCCCTAGAGTCACGGGCCCTTCCTGCATGCAGGGCTCTCTCCCACTGGTGGCCCAAACGGCAGGTGTCTGGGCTCTACCGTGTGTACACAGTGTGCTCAGCGCTGCTCCAGGAAAGCCAGGCGGGTGGGACCCTTCACTCTCTGGTGTAACATTCAGACTCTGATTCGCTCAACTACCCCTGAGCCAAATGGGAGCAAAAATGGCCAAGACTGTGCCTGGGCATCTCTCTGGAGGTCCTCTCCATCAACTCTCCTTCCTCCTACCCAGCTTCCGCTGTGCCAGACTAGGTTAATTCAAAGCCCGTGTGTTGCTATGGCAACATGACCAAATCTGACCCCCGCCCCCCACAGGCTAGAAATCATCCTCCCTGGGGTACCTCGTATCTTGCTCCTATCCCTCTTTTTTTTTTTTTTTTTTTGAGGAAGACTGGCCCTGAGCTAACATCCATGCCCATCTTCCCCTACTTTATATGTGGGACGTTCACCACAGCGTGGCATGCCCAACAGTGCCATGTCGGCACCCAGAACCCGAACCGGCAAACCCCAGGCCGCCGAGAAGTGGAGCATGCAAACTTAACCACTGCACCACCGGGCTGGCCCCACTCTTTTCCCTCTTTAGTGCTGAGATTATACTAAAATAATTCAGGTTCAAACTATTTCCGAACTGCTTCAGAGAGAGAAGTTTCACAGAACCAGCTCTTGCAGAAGCAGGTGTTTTTCAGATGTGAGATCCAGGACCCCGGTCCCTCATTGTCACCGCCGTCAGCAAAGGAAATCTTGAGTTCACCCTCAGAACAGCTCAGAGGGACGCAGAGCACCACAAACTAATTCTCAACCCCAGCCGGCTTCCTTCCGCTTTTAAATCCACCACTGTGTTCCATTCTCAGGGTTAAGGTGCTAGAACATTCCGTCAGGTGCTTCCTTCCTTGCTCCTTTCCAAATCTGAATACAGAGCTTGAGGACAGGATGTGCGAGAGATTCAAATCACCCGAAGTAGGAAACACATCCCGAGAGCCGGCCCGGGACCAGGTGTAAGAAATTGTGTTTGTTAGAGCTGTGCAATGGCTCTAACCAACGTATGCCGCAGGGCATTCTCACCGCAGATGGTCTGTAGTTCTTAATTCTTTTTTCTATGTGTGGCTTATGCTTTTTTTTCCCTCTCTCTTTCTCCCAGATGGAACCAAAACGCCTGAAAAAACAGCTCCCCAAAATCCTGAAACTCTTGAAGCCGGACGACAGGATTCTGATTGTGGGGACCACAAAGCGTCCTTTCGATGCTGAACTTCAGTCCTTCTGCAGGGTTTACCAAAAAATTATTTTGATTCCCAGACCAGACTATGCTTCTAGATATGGCAAGTACCCCCAGCCCCTTCCCAGGCCGGGTAACTGAGGCTGGGCTGTCCAGTGTCAGCTTGCAAGCATGTGAAGCCAGGAGGGTGGCCCTTGTCACCCAGTGATTGTCACAAGGTGACGTTAGGGGAGCACGTGCCCTGGAGGGATGTGCGCACCTGGATGTCAGCCATGCTCTGCTCCGGGGATGTCAACAGCTGGGTCATAAAAGCAAAATGTACGTCTTTGTTCTGTTGTTAACTTATTCCTTTTTATCCACGACTAAAGGAAACTGGACAAGGGTTATTATTTTTGGCCCTGCAGATGACAAATGCCCTTGTGGGTGTGATTTCTCTTCTGTCAGGTAGATTAGGGTCACTTATCTTGTACCGTGGTGATGGTGTCTCTCTCGGACAGCACCACTTCTTTCCACCAGGTTGATTTTTTTTCATTTTTCCAGCCTCAAAGTACGAGTCCAGGAGCAGGTTGACTTACTTAAAATAAATATTAACTACCATCAGAACTTACTTTTTCTAGTTTTTTTCTTCTTGATTAGACAGATTCAGAATCCACTTATTTGGAAACATATTTTTGAACGGCAGCAATAGAAAAACGTGACCCTGGGAGGCAGTGCAATGACCTTGGAAAGAGCCACGAGATCTGGGCTCTGATGAGACCGGGTTCTGAATCCGGGCTCTGCCACTGAATAGCTGGGCGACCTTGACAAGTTGGTTGACCATCTGAGCCTGCATTTTCTCATCTGTTAAGTGGGAGAACTGACACTTCACAGGGCTGCTGTGACCCTTGTATAAGGTTAGCAGAATGTCTAACACCATCTCAGCTCCCGGGAGAGCATGGGTGGCGGTGCTGGAGACAGAGGAAGAGAAGATGGTGGTGGTGGTGATTGCGGAGGAGAACATGGCGGGGTGGCGAATGGCTGTGGTGGTGCTGGTGGTTGTTTCTGTTATCCCTTGCTGTGTGACAAACCTCCCCAGTGGCTTAAAACGACACTTATTCTGAGGGTTCCCTGGGTTCACCGGAGGAGCTCTCCCTTGAAATATCTCAAGATGTTGTGATCTGATGTCACTTTAGACTCAGTCATATGAAGACTCCACAGAGCTGGACATCCAAGGTAGTTCGTTGCTGTGACTAGAGCTGATTGGGGCTGTCGGCTGGGAGGTCAGCCGGGGCTGTTGACCAGACAGCCTACACCTGGCCTCTCCATGTGGCTTTGCACAGCACAGTGGCTAGGTCCCTAAGAGCAAACGTTTCAAGAGGTTCAGGCAGAAGCTGGAACGATCTTGTGACCCAGCCTCAGAAGTCACACAGTCACTTTTGCCACACTCTGCTGGTCAAGAACCAGTCACAGGGCCAGCCCAGATTCAAAGGCAGCAACTATACAAGGGTGTGAATACCGTAGGTGTGGCTCACTGAGGGGTCGTCTTTACTTCCCATGTTGGTGGTGATGGTGATAGATTTGTAGAGGTGGTAATGGTGGTGTCAGTGTTGGAAATGGTCATGATGGTGGTGGCAGCATGGCAGTGATGGAAATGATGGTAGTCACCTTGGCAGTTGTGAGGGGGACACTGGGGAGGTTGGTGGTGTAGTGGTGGCGGCATGGTAGTAATGGAGATGATGGTAGTCACGGTGGTGGTGGTGGTAGAGGTGATGGCGGCAGTGGTGGTGTGGTATCAGTGGTTAGTATTAATGGTCTTAGTAAACATGATTAGGTCAGACTTGGTTTCTATTAATCTTTCTCCAGACACAATACCACTGCCAAAACAGAGGGACTATATGGTCCTTTCTGGTTGGTCTTAAGTTCCTGGTCAATGTTACTTGCTGAAAGAGCAATCCTCTACTCCCCACATATGATAAACTCCTAGCTTATTAACCACTCCATTCGCAATGTGCACTCATTTCTGTCTCGATGTATTGCGATCCTGGCTTCATGAATCAATGTTACACGCCAAGTACAGAAGACTTTGCTCCCAGTCATTTCTCCCTCCGTCCAGTGGCTTCTCCATCTTCTAGGGCCTCTAAGTCCTCCACTGGATCCTTTGCATCCAGCCAGCACCAAAGGAAGAGAGAAAGACATTCTGGAGGAACTCACAGGAGATTTTAGGGACTAGACCCAGATGGGGCCAACAGTTCTTCTGCCAGAAGGGCTCGCATGGCGCCCCTAAGGTTCAAGGAGGCAGGGATGGAAGGTGTCTACACAGAGCTGGGTGAGCATCAGCAGTCACAGCCCACTGAGAGTCACTGCAGAGGATTCCCCGCTCCCGGCTCTATCCGAGCTTCCCCGCTCTCATTCTCCTTGGTCAGACTTCCTCTCTCACGCTCTGTCTTTTTTTTGTATTATATATCTATTTTAAGCGATCTTAATGGAGTAAGCTAGAGTATTATTAATTTTGAGGGGCCAGAGCATGCTTCTTGACTTTGGATGGAATAGTTTCTGTTGTTTGACAGAACCAGAGGCTCTTGTTGATAGCCCTGTTGATATCCAACAGGGACAACTGTGTCCTTTTGATAAAATGCTAGGCACCTCGAGGGACTCAGATCCCATTGCAGATTCCAGCCTGAATCTCCTCACGGCAGCATCACGCGGGAGGAAGGAGAAAGCTTCCCTTCCATTCTGGGCAGAGGACAGGCCTGCACACAACAGTCGTCTCGGGCCCGGGGCTCTGTCCACTAAACCACATGCTTATCACGTATTTCTTTCTCGCGTGGTGATTCGTTCAGACCGCCATTCTTGCCGCCATCATAAATGCTGTGCAACATTTCCTCCAGTGACCTTGAAGTTTTCACAGCCACAGTGGCTGGCACATCCATCTTGAAGAAAGACTGTTCCTGTCTTTGCAGTGATCAAAAATGGTCTCTTCCAGCCCATAAAGCATGAGCTGCAAATCCATAACTTGGGCCTTTGCTTGGCCATCTATCTACGGGCGGCAGAGTGCCGTAGGTGCGCAGGCACACTCACCATCCCACTTCTCAAATTCCCCGAGGCGGTGTGAGGGAGTGACAGGTCTGAGAAGCGAAGAGTGGCTCAGCCTGAGGAAACACAGTCCTTGAGGCTTACCAAATATAATTCAACATTCACCTCCTTTCCCCAAATCTAGCTGCTTCCTTCACAATGTCTCTGCACAGAATGTCCACCCCCAAGGTTGATTAATGCCTTGTCTAGTGCCCAGAAATCCCTTTGGGCTTCCTTCACTCCACATTCCTAATGCTTCCTCCTCTTGCCTCTCTTCCCTGGGGTCTGTTCGCTAATAACCCAATTCATTACAGGTCCCCACCCCAGACCCAGTGTCTGGTCGGATAAGTCCAGTCCACATCTTCTGATTTTTCTGGAATGCTAGGCTTCAGAGACCAGAAGTTCCCCTAAATCATATTATTTACTTCTCGTGCTTTTGAAAAATCCCAAATAAAAGTGAATTTTAAGATACTACATACATCATCGCAAGCACTAGGCAGGATGGAATCCATTTGGAATGCCAAAAGCGGAGAAGGGGGCCTGAGGACCAGACTCCTTTCAGTCTAAGGAGGAGGAGAAAGGTAGATTAGTCTGAAGGAGGAGGAACTTTCTGCATCCAAGAGGGGGAGGTAAGATACAGCCCCCGGCCTGGAGAGCACCTCCACTGACTTCAGCCCTCTCGAGTCCCTGGCCTCTGGTCCTCAACACCACACCCAGTGCCACCCCCAGCATGTTGTAGTTTTGTGTTCTCCACCTGCACTTGTGGGCCCAAGACTCAGCAGCCTGCCGTTGGCTCCAGTACTGGCTATGGGGCTCCCACCTCAATGAGCCCACAGGCCGTGACTCACTCTGCACCTGACCCCCCTCTTAGCCTCACAGCAACTATTAAAGGATCAAGAACCCATGAGCCGGTGGCTTTGGAAAAGGGGTAGAAGCTATTCTTTGAAAGGCTAGTACGTCTAGTTCATCAAACAGGAGAGGGATGTTAAGCCTGATTCTCTTTCCCATTCTCTGGATCTAGAGATGACTATGGCAGGTGAACAAGTCCCCCCATCGCTGTGACAACCTCCACAGAGTTCACTTACTGCGCCGCCATTAAAAAATGGCGAGCTTTGGGAAGTAATCAATGATTTACGTATTTCAAGGAATCTTGATCAAACTCTACGTGAATACCAACTATCATACATTTTAGATGATCAGTGGTGCGTTTGCATGGTCACATTCTACCAGAACAATGGGAGTTTTTTGCTCCGTTACTCAGGAATCTTAGCTTAGAGAGATCCCTCTGATTGGCAGGTTGGAAGGCTCTGACTATTGTAGCTGGATGGGGGGCAAGGGAGCGAGCTGACTGTCTGTTGCTGGGGAGCCCTTGGCCCTCACTGCTCGCCCACGGGCTGGTCTGCTCCATGTAGGAGTTTTGCCCATGGGTGCCCAAGGCTGAAGCTATTCTGCGTCCCCAGCCTGGGCTATCTACTGGGTCCTTAGCTTTAGGGGCTGTCACCTGTGACTTTCCCGTTAAACCTGTTCCCTTCTCAGCCTGCAGAGTCACCACTCAGACCTTTCGGCACTTTTTTTTAGGTGTTATAAATTTGGACTGGAGACATACTTGATCCCAAGGGATGATGTTGTCTGGTTGTTGGTGTCGCTGTTTATTTTCCGATTTCTAACTCTACAACAGTTGTTATATTTAACTGAGGGTAATCCTCATCTGCTGCAATCTCTCTTTACACAAGTACGCTTTGAAATATTCGTAGTTTATTTGGTGTTATCTTTTATAATTGATGTTTTAACGAGCATCAGGAAACTTCGGTACGAAATGGAATGACTAATAATAATAATAACATTTACAAGGACAACAGTGATACAACTTCTGGAAATAAAGTGCCCGCCATACGCTGGAGCAGCGCTTTCCCAAAGGCTTTCTATATATTTTTTACTTATTTCTCACAGCAGCCTCAGAAATAAATCTTTTCTACTCCCGTTTTACAGGTAAACCCAAGACTGGCTCAAACTCAAGTAAACCCACCAAGGGAGTAGCAGAGTAGATCTGGGGTAGATGTCACTTTAGGCTAATTTGGGGTCCCCTGTGTCCCCCGCTGGTCTCCCTGCAGCTCTCAACCCTGATGCCCCCATTACAAGTCATTCTAGTCCTTGACAGCAATTGCAGCTTTTCATTTCAGTATTTTTGGATCCATGTGTTTGGGTGATGTGATCATTTAACCACCTGACAGTGCTCAGATCACGGAGTAACGGTCATCTTTTTAAAAACTGTTTCAAATATTCCTTAAAGAAGGTCAGAATGCTTTGGAGACGTTTGCCCAGATCCTCCCAGTGCTGAGACTGGCTCTGAGACACACAGCCTGGCCACTGCCCTCACCTTTCCTCGCTGTCTGGATGCAACTGAACGAGTAGCAGCCACACTCGTTTACTTTCCTGAAACCTCTCTTTGCAGAATGGAGGTGGTTCTCTAAGTGTAGCATTTCAAATGTTGCATAGGAGTCCATTCTATCTCCAAAGTTAGCATCAAGAATGATTTCATAATTCATTTTCACAACATCCCCGTGTTCTAAGTGAAATCTCTCGGTTACCCCAGGTCCCACTAACCCAGAGAACAGCCGAGCACCCATCCAGTAGATCAGTCAGCCTATGGGTGTTTGCAGCTGATGGGGAAGAGAATAAGGGTCAAACTGCTCTATCTAATACAATGTATAATACAGTGTCTTACACCCAAAGGGAACGGAGCCTGGCAGTCGCTAATGGAAATTGGAATCTGCATTCCAATTCTAATTCCAATCTACATCATTCCATATAAACATAATGTAAGAAGGCCAGCCCAGTGGTGCAGTGGTTAAGTTCGCATGTTCCGCTTTGGCGGCCTGAGGTTCACTGGTTCGGATCCCAGGTGCAGACCTACACACTGCTTGGCAAGCCATGCTGTGGCAGGCATCCCACATATAAAGTAGAGGAAGATGGGCACAGATGTTTAGCTCAGGGCCAGTCTTCCTCAGCAAAAAAAGAGGATTAGCAGCGGATGTTAGCTCAGGGCTAATCTTCCTCAAAATAATAATAACAATAATGTAAGAAATGAACTTTATAGCTAAAAAAAAAAAAAATCAAACTCCTACTTAGCCAAACACTTTGGAAAATATAATATTCTGATGAGCAGAGATCCCATCTACACCCTATGTGAATTTCCAATTTTGAAAGATTTTGAACATCTTTAAAGGTACCACACTGACGTGATACTGACTGTGGTTTAATTTTTCTGTCAGTTCACAAGGACTTGTGGACCCATAGACCTGAAGGTCATCGACATGTGTGTCTCATGGTTGAAAATCACTCAGATGAAAGCATTTAGTTATGTGGCTCTCGGCTCATTTGAGTTTTAATAAGTTGACATAGATCTCCTGGGCATTCCTTTCTTGATGAGATCCAACCTCGTGCTGAAACTAGATTAATATCGCTTTCTCCATGGTGACCCTTGCTCTCTCTGTCTTTTCCGCCATCTTGGATACAACAGTTTTGTGGAAAGAGATCATTCAACGCAATGGAGGAGTCGTTACTAATGCCTTGAATATAAGTTGCCTGGCGAAGGTCACCGATGGCTTCACCCAAGGTCACATAGTCCAGGTGGTTAAGGGTGTGCTCACGGACCGGAGGATCCGCCAGCAAATTCATAAACCGCTCACAGCAATCGAGTTTATTGAGTCCATAACCAGCATGAGTCCGGTATACCAAGAGGAAGAAGAGAGCTTTAAGGTAAATGGAATGATTGTATGACCAGATCTTAGCAGCAAACACTTGTCACATTACCCCCTCCCTCCCTTTAGAGAATCTGCTAAGGTCCATGAGTTTGAACTCCACCATATGCAATGAAATTTGGAAACTCGAAATTTTTGCATCACAAAATCTTTCCAGCTTTAGCAGTAAAGCATGGGTCTTCCAAATTTTAGGAAAATTGTGGTCCATGACCTTATAAATTAACATCCAGATTGCAGAATTGAGTAGCAGCTTTGAAACCATTGGATTCACACACACACACACACGCACACGCACACACACACCCTTTTCTTGGCTTTCACTGGTTTTTATTTCATATTTCACATAATGGAACAAGTTTTGATTAGAGAAAAGCATTCCCTAAATAGTATATTTCAAGCCAATGTTGTTTTTGTCATTGTCCACTTCATTTTTCAGTGCACTTGCAATGGTCAGTCACAAGAGAACTCACCAAAATGGAGTTTTCTAAGTTTTGAATACATTCTGAGATGTCCACAGAATTTTTTAGATCTGGAGAAAACTCTGAGCATCAACTCTTGCAAATCCTTCTTTTATAAAAGAAAAAGAAGTTGCAGAGAGTTGTGTCCGTTATTCCAGCACAATCGACCTTAGAACCCTGGTCCCTGATGCCCAGGCCAGCGGGCTCTCCTCAAAATCCTTTTAATCAAAATGAACACAGTTGTGTTCTCTTTCTGGACCTGAAGGTAGTTTCCTTGGCCAGCTGGGAAGACAAGGAGGAAAATTATGTCCATGCAATGACACCCACCCCAATGTTGGCCATACTGTCAGAAGGAGAATCAGAATTCTCGTTCAGCCTCGTGTCTCTGGAGGCCTGCTTGAAATTAAGAACATTTGCCTCTATGATGTATCACTTTTCCACCAACTCTAAAAACCGTGCTATCCTCCAGCTTTGTCACTAAGGCTTCAGGGGAAGGTGAGAAATAGTCACAATACTGATCCCGGCACTAATGATCTAGCACCAGGGTTGGCACACTTTTTCCACAGAGGGCCAGAGAGTAAATATTTTAGGCTTTCAGAGCTATGCAGGCTCTGTCACAACTCCTCAACCCTGCATCATGTCACATAAGCATCCAAAGACAGGATGTAAATGCATGGGCGTGGCTGCTTTCCGTTCCAGTAAAACTTTATCTGCAAAAACAAGCAACAGACCCAATTTGGCCCATCAGCCAGTTTGCTAAACCCTGCTCTAGCAAAACGGAAAAAAAAATATTTCCCACTCCAAGCTGGAGTTTTTGCCAACTATTTGAATTAATATTCTTCTTAACTGTTTAATCCTTCTTTGTAGTAATTGCAAATATTTATCCTCCTCGAGTGACACTTTCTTTTCTGAAATTTCCAATTTTTTTCTCCTTTCTAGATTAGTAATTTTTCTCCTGATTTTCAGGGGCTAGGTTTAAGGGTTAAAAGCTATGCCTTCTCTAAGCTGGGGTTTTAACTTTCTAAAGTGATTTCTAGAAGCTTGTCTATCTGTTACAGGTGCTGGAGGTCCAGTGACAATAACCAATCATACTCTTAAGACAAGAAATGCTGCCAGTTTGAAGTGGCATATGAGAACACATATGCTTCTCACATCTGCTCTTGGCATATTTGACCACTTTATTCATTTTTTAAGGAAACCGAATCATTTGACCACCATGACCACTAGCCCCATCCCCCCATATCTCCAGGGCTTGGCACAGAGCCTGGCCCCCAACTAGATGTTCAGTAAACCTGTTTGGTGGCAAATTTATCCAGCAGATGGATGGATGGAATGACGCTGTGGCTGTAGTTGCTTGTAATCAGGCAGAACATTATTGCCTTCAGAAATTTTGACCTAATTGTCCTTCTGATGACATGTCAGCTGATGGTCTTGCTGATTCTCCTGATACATTGCACCCTGCCCCACGGACATGATGGGAAAATAGTTAATAAGAATGATGGTAATAATCATAATACTGTTAGCTAATATTCATCAACTACTTTTGGGCCAGGCCCTCTGTTAACGCATTTAGGCCTCACAATCCCTCTATTTTACAAAGGAGGAAACTGAGTTAGAGAGGTGTGGTGGGCAGAATCGTGCCCCCCCCCCCCAGTGATGTCCACACCCTAGTCCCTGGATCCTGTAAATAGGTTACACATCAATGGGGAATTAAGGCTGCAGATGGAAATAATGTGGCTAGGAAGCTGCCCTTGAAATAGGGAGATTTTCCTGAATAATCTTGGTGACCCTGATGTAATCATAAAAGGTGGAAGAGGGAATCAGAAGAGAGAATCAAAGACAGGGCAGGTGCTCCCTGGAAACCACAAAAGGCGAGAGAAGAGATTCTCCTCGGAGCATCCAGAAAGGAGCCCAGCCTGCAGGCGCCTTGATTTCAGCCCCGTGAGACCCATTTTGGATTTCTGACCTGCAATGCTGTCAGATAATAAATGTTTTATTTTAAGCCACTAAGTTTGTGGTAATTTGCAGGAATGGAAAACACAAGAGGCAAAGTAACTTGTTCCGGGTCACACAGCTAGAAAGAAGCAGAGCTGAAATTCAAATCTTACTCCAAAGCCGCTTTTATTAGCCGTGGTCTCTACTGTGTCTCAGTGAATGAGGAGTTCATTGCCTGAAGGACTCAGCCGTCTCGCTCTCCTCTGAAACAGAGCCGAAGCTCAGAGAAGGATGAGATAATCCCCAAGTGCCAGAAACAAAGATAAATCTCAAACTCAGGGGCAGCCATATGCCTGGCATGCGGCACAGAGAAAAATGAGGGATGGAAACAGAGCATGATTAGGAGTCATGGAAGATGAAATGGCAGCCGTTGCCGCTTCTGTGATAACCAACATCACCAATGGGAACCAACTTCAAAACACCGTTAGAAAGCCCGGCTGTGGATTTGGGTTCAGAGGACCAATAGAAGCAACTGCAAGCCTGCTGGGGAAGGAGGAAGAATGAGAGACAGAGGCCAGAACAGAGCTTCCCACTCAAAATGAAGCGGGAAACCAAAATTCCAGAACATGTGAGGAAATCCAGTGCTAACGACAATCTGACAAAAATGGTTAAATTAGTGTCATTAAGATGTTCAGGAAAATTAATGAAGGCATGATTTCTATCAGAAATGTACACACAGTTCTGAAACAAAGACGGGCAGAAATGGAATAAAAAGAGAGAATTATTTTTTAAAATTACAAAAAGAGGGGCCAGCCCAGGAGTGTAGTGGTTAAGTTCGCACACTCCACTTTGGGGGCCTGGGGTTTTCAGGTTCGGATCCCAGCAAGGACCTACACACTGCTCATCAAGCCATGCTGTGGCAGCATCCCACATGCAAAATAGAGGAGGATTGGCACAAGTGTTAGCTCAAGGACCAATCTCCCTCAAGCAAAAATAGGAAGATTGGCATAGATGTTAGCTCAAGGTCAATCTTGCTCATCAAAAAAAAAAAATCACAAAAATATAGTAACTAACATAAAATGAGGAAAAAAAATAGAAGAAGTATGAACTTCAGACCAGACATGGTCAAAGAGCAAATTAGTGGATCGGAAGATGATCCTGGGGAGCTCCCCTGGAAGGCAGCACAGAGAGACAAAAAGATAAAATTTGTAAAGTGCAACTAAGGGCCCAACTAATAGAAGTTCTAGAAGAAGAGAACACAAGAAATATCAGAGGAACAACTATTTGAAGAAATGTTTGCTGAGAATTTTCCTGAATTAAAGACATGAGTTCTCAGGTTAAAAGCAAACTCTGAGTGACCAGCAGAACGAATAAAAATAAATCCACACCTACACACGTTATCGTGAACCTGAGAACAAGATAACAAGTCAGTCTTAAAAGATACCAGATTGCCTGCAAAGACACAGCAGTTGGGAACTCAGATGGCTCCTTGACAACAATAGAGGCCAAAAGACGGCAACATCTGCAAAGTATTCAGGAGAAATAGCTGTCTACGTGCCATTTGTATCCAGCTAAACTAGCATCCAAGAGACAGGAGGAAATAAAGACGTTGTAAGACAAACAAAGACTGAGGTAGCTTCCCGCTCACAGCCACTTGAGAGGTCAACTTGGAAATATCAAGTAAGATTCTGGATGCACGTGACCCACAGCCCCAGCAATTCTATTTCTGTGCTTATGCCCTAGACAAGTTTTCTCACGTGTATGCGAGGAGATACGTCAAAATTGTGAAATTTCAACATTGTTCATGATGACAAAAAAATTGGAAATGACCTGTATGTGCATTGATGGTAGAACTGGTAAATAACGTATAGTATGGTCACTCAGTGAAGTATTACTGGGATGAAGTGCATAAACCAAGATGGTTCTCAGGTTTCAAATAAAATGTGAAGGCTGCGGAAGATGCCATCACAGGGCCAGTTGCAATTAAAAAGTGCTGTGTTGGTATTTTGGCTCAGTGTTTCAGCCGTGTTTCCAACAGTCTCCCTCAGAGTGTATGGACTCTTGTGATCCACACATGGCCACCAGTCCAGCTTCTAGTGGCCATGGGTGAACCATGGGGGAAATTCACATCACCAAGAAAACCTACACCCTCGAGATAGCGTAAGAGTGGGGCCGGCCCGGTGGCACAGCGGTTAAGTTTGCACCTGCCACTTCTTGGCAGCCTGGGGTTCTCAGGTTCCAATCCCGGATGTAGACATGGCACTGCTTGGCACTCCATGCAGTGGTAGGCGTCCCACATATAACGTAGAGGAAGATGGGCATGGATGTTAGCTCAGGGCCAGTCTTCCTCAGCAAAAAAGAGAAGGATTGACGTTAGTTAGCTCAGGGCTAATCTTCCTCAAAAAAACAAAAAGATAGCCTAAGATCCCCAGGAAATCTGGGGACTTAGTCAGGAAGGGTTGTTGGTTAGATTTGGTGTAATTCTCTGCAGGTGTTAACTCCTTGAGATAGAAGTTTCAAACCATGTAGAAATATAGGTTGGAGCATCCCCTAAGAAAGAATGTATTAAACGTACATTAAATGCCCAAAGTTTAATGCCGCTTGCCCCTTCCTTCTTAGCAAGCTTTTCTTTGTCTTTAGGAGGATTCCGGTGAATTGATGTCATTCTGATATCTTTCTAAACATCGCTTTTCTTCCAGGACTGGTATTCCAAAACCCCTATGGGTAGAAAGCGAGCCTTGGCGTTAACGGGAGGTACCACGGAAAAGGAAAAGGATAAAGGAAAAAAGAAGGAAAAGAAAGGAAGAAAGGAGAAAAAGAAAAAGTAAGGCCCTTCTGAGGAGCCATCCTTGCGCGTCTCTCAGGGATGGAGATGGCCCGACTCTCCAGGGAGGAGACTCGCCATTGCCCATCTGAAGCCGACCCGGCTCCTGCCACCAGCTCCTCAGCTCTGCATCCGCTCAGTGAGATCTTTAGGAGGCTGTACCCCAAGATAGTTGTCCGTAGCAGTTGTTTCTAGAATTTGTAATTGTTCCTTAGTCCATGTACAGTTTGTATAGAAACAAAATTCACTCTTCACACTCTCCGCAATCTTTTCAGGTTGATACTCCATGTCATCCGTCCTACTGGACAGGTTTAAAATTTGATAGTTAGAAAATACTCTAAGTTGACAGCCAGTAAGTAATTTGGGTCTATCGATACACTAGTTTTAATTATTAATCCATATATATTGTATATTATCTTGCACATATTTTAATAAATTAACTCTTTGCTCTATTAATATATTTTATATAATGGAATAAAAGTTGTTGTCCTTGAATGACTCAGTAATTTGGTTGCTGGAGCTAAAAAAAGACCTGCAAAATTAACTAGGGTTGAGCATCACTTAACAACAGGGATATGTTTCCAGAAATGTATCATTAGGCGATTTTGTCATTGTGTGAACATCACAGAGCACACTTACACACACCTGGATGGTAGAGCCTGCTGCACACCTGGCTGCATGGTACTGATCTACGGGACCACCGGGGTATATGCGGTCCGTTGTTGACTGAAACGTCATCATGCTGCGCGTGACTGTATTTCAGTCTTCTGACTTTGAAGATGGAGAAACTAAGGCGCAGGGCCACACAGCTAATATTTGAAACTTTGGCACTGAAATAATTCCCGTTAATTCCCAGTCTACTGCTCTTGAGAAGCACTGAACCCTTGGCAGGCCCATGACTGCATGAAAACTGCTCCATAAAAATAGAGTAAATGTGGGGGCCATCCCTCTGGCGTAGTGGTTAGGTTTGCACACCCTGCTTCGGCAGCCTAGAGTTCACCAGTTCGGATCCTGGGAGCAGGTCTAGCACTGCTCATTGAGCCATGCTGTGGTGGCATCCCACATAGCAGAACTAGAAGGATTTACAACTGGAATATACAACTACATACTGGGGCTTTGGGAGAGGAAAAAAAGAGGAAGATTGGCAACAGATGGCAGCTCAGGGCCAATCTTCCTCACCAAAAAAAAAAAAAAAAAAAATAGGGTAAATGTGGAGAAGAGAAAGCCTAAATGAAGAAGTTAATGCTAGGGGCCGGCCCAGTGGCACAGCGTAAAAAGTTCACACGTTCCGCTTCTCAGCAGCCCAGGGTTCACTGGTTCAGATCCCGGGTGTGGACATGGCACCACTTGGCACGCCATGCAGTGGTAGGCGTCCCACATATAAAGTAGAGGAAGATGGGCATGGATGTTAGCTCAGAGCCAGGCTTCCTCAGCAAAAAGAGGAGGACTGGCAGTAGTTAGCTCAGGGCTAGTCTTCCTCAAAAAAAAAAAAAAAGTTAATGCTAAATAAGAAAAAGATTAAAGAACAGAAAAGTAAGAGTGAAGGATAAATTAAAGAAACACATAGGTGAGGAGAACAGATTGGTGGTTACCAGAAGGGAAGGGGGTGAGGGGAGGGCAAAAGGGGTAAAGGGGCACATACGTATGGTGACGGATGGAAACTAGACTATTGGTGGTGAACACGATGCAGTCTATGCAGGAACTGGTAGATAATAAAGTACAAATGAAATTTTCACAATGCTGTAAGCCAAAATGACCTCAATAAATAATTTTTTAAAAAGAGAGAAAAAATTTTGTAAGAATATGAAAGACTATTTCGTGGAAGGTAGTAAATAACCTGCTTCTAAATTGTGGTGAGAACACAGGTTGAGGTAGGATGAATTTGGTTTGAAATTTAGGAATCCCCCATCCGACAGGTTTTGCTTATGCCAGAGAATGTCGTAAAATCTCCTCCTGCACAGACCACACTACATCTCCAGCCTCTCCCTGGATCCCAAGGAGGCTGCATCTTCAATGCCCAAGACCATCAGTGGTTCCCAGGGGTCTTCTGGCCACCAACACATACCCCTCAGCCTGTGTCTGTACAGGACACCGACACAAATTTGCACGGAGAGAGGCAGCCATGGGCCCACATACTCTGGACACATTCTATACACACCAAAAATACTCTGAGTCTGCCCTCTTGGACAAACTCCGCTTTCTGAGTGCCTGCCATTGACTTGCCTTCTCATACCAAAGGAACCCCAATTTCTGCAGACCTGGGGGCCTGAGCTGCCTTACCCACTTCAGGCTGTGTCTGGCCGAGGCCCAGATTGGCCGGAGCGATGGGCAGACTCCCCACCCTAACCCCAGAGAGCAGTAACATCCCTCTCTCCAGGATGGTGGCCCGGAGAGCCGGTCTTTCACATATCGTGGGAAACAGACTCTTGGTTTTGACCCAAGAAGAGAACTTCAAGGATTTGATGTTCATTGCAAAGTAGGAGGATCTAGACGCTGAAGAAATGAACCTGATGAAAACATGAAAAGTAAACAACGCCGTTTAACTTGGTCTCCGTTTAACAAGCATCCTTTTTCAGAACTCGTACGAATTTGTGTTGGTGAAGCTTAAATAAACAATTGACAATGAAGGGACAGAAATTTAACCGACCCATGTGCTTTGGAGCAGCCCCATCCAATGGGACTTCCCGCGGGGATGGAAATGGTCCAGGTCTGTGCTCGCCAACAGGAGAAGCCAATAGTCACACGGGTCTGTTATGCACTTGAAATGTGGCCGGCAACTGAAAAACCTGGATTTTTTAATTTAAAGTTAATTCAAATTTAAATAGCCACATGTGGCTAGTGTGACTTCTATATTGAACGCTGCAGCTTTATAGTAACTTGAGTCTTAAAAATTGGCAAAGATGGGGGCTGGCCGGGTAGCGTAGTGGTAAAGTTCATGTGGTTGGCTTTGGCGGTCTGGGCTTCATGGATTCGGATCCCGGGTGTGGACCTACACACCACTCATTAAGCCAGCATCCCGTGTACAAAATAGTGGAAGATTGGCACAGATGTTGTTAGCTCAGGGACAATCTTCCTCACCAAAAAAAAAAAAAATATATATATATATATATATATATATATATATATATATATATATAGGTAAAGATGGCCTAAATATCCTCCCAATGTGCTCACTCTCTTTCTGGCAGCCCACTCTCACTGAGACCTGATCGCCACTGGTCCCTTTGTTTTCTCCCAAACTATGACTTCCTGCGCTTCCCACTGCTGGGTTTTCTCTCTAGCTCCGTGTGGCTTGCATCAGCCAGCCCCTCCTCCTGCTTACCAAGAACCATGATGTTGCCTCCCACCCCAGCGGGCTTCGCCCTGCTCACAGCTGCCCTCCGCTCCACGCCGAGTGGACCCCCTTGTACGACACTGCAAAGTGGGCAAAGTATCAACACACCGGAGCCCAGCACATATGCGTTTACACTACAGCCTCCTGCTTTGTGTGTGGCAGAGGATGTGTAGATACCTGAGAATACAATCACACAGACATATATTCCACTTTTTTTTACACAATGGTAACATATCATATATGTATGTAGTTCTACCCCCCTTCTCTTTAGACTTAATAACATATCTTGGATACTGTTTTGTATCAGCACACATAGATTGGCCTCATTTTATATTAGCTATGTAATACCCCACTTTCTGGATAGGGCGTCATTTATTTAACCAATCCACTGTTTGACAGACATTTGGATTACGTCCACCCTTTGGCTATTCCATCAATGCTGCAATGAATACCTTTATACATTCTTCTTTGTGGGTATGTACGGGGAAAAAAAAATCTGTAGGACAAATTCCCAGAAGAGAAGTTATTGGGTCAAATTATCTGTGCACCTTGCATTTGGGTAGCTCTTGCCAGGTTGCCCTGGCAAGAGCTGCTCATCGCGTCAGACACGCGGGAGGATGCCCATTGCGTCGTCATCCCCAGGGCAGGTTATCGAACGGTGAGGCTGTCAGTGATGCACATTTAAGGTCCAGAGCTCCTTGCAGAGGTGGTGCAGTCATGTGATGCAACTCCCCTTTTAACTGACGTGGAGACAGGAGAAATGACAGCCCCCCGATGAGGACAGGAAAATGAGGGGCATGCGCGGTGGGGTGGGCGGGAGGAGGGACTGGCAGAGGTAAGGGGAAACAGACCCTTTGTGGGAGTTCTGCTGGGGCCTGAGCTCTTCCTGGACCATTATGTGCCAGTTAGCTCCTCTTGAGTATTTTCTTAAGTGAAGGGGACAGTAATTAATGTCATTAACCCTCATTAAGGGAGCGCTCTGTGGAATGGAATCTGATGAAGTGGAATTGAAGCTCTCTATGGCTCTGTGCTTGGCCTGCCCTGAGGAATGAGCAGGCTCCTGGTCCAGAACCACTGGCTGGTAACACGGTCCCCTGAGATGATATTCCTGAGACCAGCGGGGCTTAAACGACCGCCTCCGTTCAGAACTAACCGTTTTAGAGCACCCTCGGAGTCAAGAATCTACCTTCGTGACTCTTCCTAAACAGACGTCCACATGCAATGCAAGGGCAGTAATTGTGTAGGTGTCACAGGGCTATTTGACAAGAGTGACACTATTTTCAGCCACTAACGACACTCTGGGATCTAAGCCTCTGAGAGAAGTGGCTTCTGATGTCTACAAAAGTGAAGATCTTAATTGAAGAGAGGCATGATGCTAACAAAACCTTGGACTTGAAACCACACTGGCAGCCCCCTACCCAGTGAGATTTGGAAAACCAAAAGGCCCCGGGGCCCAAAATATGGGTCTCCAAGCACCTGAAGTCTCCACCACTAGAATCGCTCGTTTGTTAAGGCGTGGTTCTCTCAACAATTCCATCTCATGAGAATTGACGGCTGCACCATAGCCACCATTCTTTGTTGCTGCTCCAAGGCTTTCATTGGGCATCCTCCATGTGCCAGGCACTGGGATGCAGGCGTGCACTGCCCGGCAGCCTAGTAGGGGAGGAGACGTTAATAAGATGGTCATGCGATGAATGTGCGAGGCCAGATCAGTGCAATGGGCCTGTGTGCCCAGAAACTGGCCTGGCCTCAGGGATCAGGCTGACGGCTGCCCGGCTCCATCCCTTTTTGGATGGAGAATCTGAGAGTCCACATGGAAGTGGCAGATCTGTCTGATTCTTTGGTTCTTCACGACAGCTGCACTTAGCGCCCATGTAATTGCCTGAGACAGTGTGTCCAGGGGCCCTTGGCACATGGGATGCACTCGGTAACTCTTTCTTGCTTGTAGACGGTCAGTGGTGCACATTTCACTCTGGGCTTTGGGAAGTAACTGGGAACCCAGGAGTCCAGGGAGTTTGGCCCCCACACTCTGGGTTCATTGTCAGATGATGGTCTCCTTGCCCCAGGCAACTAAACCAGTTCCTCCCCATGGCAAACCAGCACCCGGCCTCGCTCTTTCTCTTGGCCTAGGGATTAGGCATTTTAGGAATAGTCTCTGCTGTCC